TGGGGAACCTGTTGCTTTTCTATGCATGGACAAAGCACAGGTTCATTTAACTCTATCCTGACAGGTTCACATTAACTGTCTGCAACTCATCAACATTAATAATAATAGACCCCACTACTTGGTAACTAAACCCACTGTTTGTATGAAGGAAAACTGATTTTCAAGTCAAGTCAGTACAATGATTTATTTTTAGACCATCTTACCTTAATGGAATTTGCTGACTTAGTTGAAAAATACTTGATGTGTTGACAAGAAGGTATTGGGCTTCATTGACTAAAGAAAGTGAGGGCAATGTTGTATCCAACAAACCTGAAGAAATACATTACTATTTAATATTGTACAGAATGGGCAAAACAAAAGACACATTGGCAATACAGCATATATTCTGTGGCACTTGGAGTAGGGTTAACAGAATAATAATATTATAGAATATATTAATATTCATTGTGCCTTTTCCATTTATGTTAATTTCAGGAACTGGTCAGTTACTTCTTTAATTCTATTTTCTTTTCTTTGCTAAGCTTTAACAGCCACAATACTGATACAGATCTACTGATACAGAAGCACAATGTTTGTACTATTTTAATGACTGTATTACGCCCATCACACACTCATATCTGTAGGTCCTCCTGAATTACTCAAGTTGGCCACTGTTGGGGGAAATGAACAATTTAAAACCTGTTTCAATTGCTATTTTTTCTACTGAAAAAAGCTGGCAGGGGCATATTCATTTTCACTTCCCACCCTTCTCCATTAACAAAAAACCTGTACAGTCAGCAGAGTCAATTTTACAGTCATATAGAGTGTCTGTATTGCTCAGCAGTCAGCATCCTTGAGGGAAATTGGATTGTATGACTGCAGCAAAGACACCACTTTCAACTCTGGGCAGCTTTAGCCTCCTTGAAAAATAGAGTTATAACTTAAGACTTTCAGAGAATGTACTGTGTAGAACAAATGCCCAGACTGGTAACCTTGCAGAGAAAGGAACAGTAAGCCACACACATGTCCACCAATATTACACAGGTAGAGGAGCTTGTAAGCGCAGTAAAACATATTGTGTGCACTGACCATTATTGTAACGTTGACTTTTAAGTGATTTTTAATATATCATTTCATTTTTTCATGCTCGCTGTACCATATATAAAGTTCAATATTTTTTAATATAAGTTTGCAATTAAGCATAATTGCTATATCATGTTTCTCCCAAGATGAGCTATGTGGTACAATACCAGTGCTTCATTACTAAGCAGGAAGTAGAACTTGCATAGATAAAAGTAAAATATGTTTGCCCCTATGTGCAAATATCATATTAATGACCCCATCAACAACAATATAATTTATGGGTACAATAATTGTAAAAAAAATATAGAGACTTGTATGTTGTCTGTACTTCAGCATGCCATAGCTGACTAGCCAGAAAGAAAATCTATTTTCCCATAATGCGATAAAAGCTTCCCATATTCTGCTCTGTGTAAACTTAGTGGGTAACTGCCATCATCTAGTAGAGGGGGCTTGACACATAATTCTAAGATCTCTGAAAATAAACTGTTCTTCAGTTGTCCTCCAGAAAAGAATGCTAATGTCAACCAAATTTAGTTTTTAAACAGATCATAATTTTACACAATATCCTCCATTTCCACTTGGTCATGGTTCTTCTTTAATCTACATTACAGATTTATAAAACAGCAGTTACATCTTCAGCTCAAGCTTAGAGATGTAATTTTGGCTACTTAAGTTGGAGCAGGAAACTCCTCAGGCCTGATTCACAAAATGTGATGTGAGGTGACGTTTCATTGCGAACATTCAATCTTGTGCAATAAAGTAATTTTTAAAATGTCCCTGAACACAATTGGACATTTGAAGTGAACTCAATTTGCGGTCATCAAACTTTAGTAAATCAGGCCCTCAGTTATAATCAGGTAGGAGCGCTATTTTTTAAGTTGAGTATTGAAAGAAAATATGAAACACTTATCAGTTTGTCATTTTAAATAAATAGACACAAACAATAAAAGTGTTGGTGTTTGTAACAGCTGCAGCATAGTACACATAATGTTTTACTTTTCATTCTAATGTTTTTATCCATGAAGCATGTGACGCTGACATACCTTTCTTCTTCGCACCTGAAAAGCGACTAAAGATGGATGACTGCCTTATCAAACGACATTTGCGTCCAAGAAAACTAGACAGCCAGTTTGCAGATTCATCCCCACAGTCATATGTATGAACTCTACAGAGAATAAAAATCAGTACAGCGTATTTTTAGTCAGCACATATTTTGATTTATTATTGCCGTGCTTACCTTAACCACTTGAGGCTCGGGGTGTTAAACTCCCTTGCTGTCCAGACAATTTTTCAGTATTCATCACTGCGGTATTTGACTGAAATTTATTCCGTCATGCAACGCTGTACTGAAATGAATTTTATACCACTTTTTGGGGACAGATAGAGCTTTCTTTTGGTGGTATTTAATCACCGCTGGGGTTTTTATTTTTTAAAATAATATCGAAAAAAACAGCAAAAATTTTGAAAAAACAAACAGTTTTCCCTACATTTTGTTATTTTGTTATAAAACATGTATTATTTGGTAAAATATAAAAGACGGGGGCACGTGGGTAAAAAAACATCTAACATGTCAAGCTTTAACCACTTCAAGACCAGGTGTTTAGACCCCCTTCCTGGCCAGGCCATTTTTCAGTATTCAGCGCTGCGGTACTTTGACTGACGTTTATTCCGTCATGCAGCGCTGTACTGAAATGAATTTTATACAATTTTGTGGGGACAGATAAAGCTTTCTTTTGGTGGTATTTAAACACCACTGGGGGTTTTATTTTTTACTATAATTAGGAAAAATTACAGAACATTTTGGAAAAAAAACAAGTTTTTTTTTTACATTATGTTAGGAAACCCAGTTTTTTGGTAAAATATAAAAGATCGGGTCACGTCGGGTAAATAGACACGAAACATATCAAGCTTTAAAATTGCGCACACCAGCGAAATCGCAGAAAACTACCTTACCCAAAATTGGCCATAGGCGACGCTTTAAAAGCTTTTACCACTCATCAGTTTAGTGTTATAAGTGATTGATGGCCCTAGACTTATTGCTCTCCCTCCGACGTTTGCGGCGATATGTAACATGTGCGGTGTAATGGGTGCAATCGTCTTTTTTGCACGTATGCGCCCTCGACGCATGTTTGCATGCGTGTATGTATGGGTGGGGACTTTACATTTTTTTTTGTTTTTTTATTCTTTTTTATGTGTAACTGCTCGTACCGGGCACAGCGGAGCCCGGGATCAGCGGGACAACTGTGTGGGCGACCGCAGAGGGGGGGGGAACACACCGATCGGCACACCATACACGCGGTCCGCCGGCTCTACAGCCGGCGGATCGCGTGTATGGTAACAGGCATCGTTGCCTGTTTTTAAATAATGGCCATCTCCCGCGCGCGTCTTTAGACGTCTGAGCGGACGTCTAAAGATCTAGAGACCTTTCGGCCGGCCGTTTTTTTTTTACTACGGCCGGCCCTGAGGTGGTTAAAATTGCGCGTACCGGCAGAATCGCAAAAAACTTCCATATCTAAAATTGGCCATAGGCAACGCTTTTAAAGCTTTTTACCGCTTATCAGTTTAGTGATTAACAGTGATTAATGGCCCTAGAATTATTGCTTGCACTCTGACATCCATGGTGATATGTAACATGTGTGGCATAATCATTGTTTTCGCATGTAGGTGCGCGCAACGCGTATTTAAATTTATATGTGCATGCAGGCAGGTGCGGGGAACTTAAAATCTATTTTTGTGTTTTTTATTTTTTGTTATAGGTGGCTAATTTTTTTCAGCTTTTTTTTTTTACGCTCAACTTTATTGCCATCACATAGGGGGATAACAATCCCCCTATGTGATAACAAATATACAATTACAGGTCCTCATTATGGAGACATCAGGGTCCACTTCATGGAGGCATAAGGGGTCTCCCAAAGAATCTATAGTGGCCAGAGAAATGACAGCTAAAGGGGAAGTGATGTAATACACATGTGATACACATCACTTCCGCCTTTAGAGATCAGAGGAGAGATCAGCAAGTAGGAGAATGCGAATCTCTCCTCCATTTACAGTGTGAGCAGCTGCTGTGCTGGTCCGGGGCCCGCAGGGGGGGCAGCGGAGCCTGGGATGGTCACGGCAGTGGGGGGCGCGTACATTTTGTTAACATACAAGCGATCGGACAGCTGTAGAGCTGCTCGAACACTTGTATGGAACAGCCGGTAACAGCTGTATACATCTTCTGTGGGAATCTGCTGGTGTGTGTGCTAGGGGTTGCACACAAGCAGAAAAAAAAATACGTAAAGTAATGTCCACCCACTGATAGGAGGTTGCCGTCCGTCTGTAAATTTATAACAGGCGGACGGCAAGTAGTAAATTAACTTTCAACGTGACTCTGAGTCATATTTTTATGTGTTTGTTCTTCCAGATTTATATTGTATTAAATGTGCAGACTTGTAGAGTAGCCAATAGAGAGGGTGGATTAGCCACTATGATTTCTCTCCCTTTCTTCCTAAGGTAGATCTGAACCCAATCGCTAAAATCTTATATATACTTTAACATGTTGATGTCATTTCAAAAGTTATTTTCAATCTTTTTAAGCCTGCAACTTTCATTAAAATAATACCTTCTGATCCTGCTTTGAAGGTCCTTGGTTAGCCACTCCCTTTTATGAGGTGACAAAGTCTACCATTTGTTCTCCTGTGTTGTCACCCTGTCATGTGCATTCCATATGGAGGCTATGTGAAGCAAGCTTAGCAATGTCTGTGTTATTTATCCTGTCACTATGGTAGACAAATGGTATCACTATAAAGTTTGCTTTTTTGTTAATTTAAGTAAAAAAAAAAGTGCTTGCATGAACACTATGCAAAACTATGAGGTGAATTTATCAAGGCTGGAGCAGACAGAATTTGGAGCGGTTTCCCAGAGTAACCAATCAGCTTATCTCTTTTTTCCAGTTAAGTTTTGAAAAATACAAGCTGATTGGTGGTTATGGGCAACTGCTCCAGGTCCTATCTGCTCCAGTTTTGATAAACTCCCTTGTATGTGTATTGTGGCCCATCCAGAAGGTCTCCCAGCTGCTGTACAGTTCAGGACCTGGGATTCTCTATGACCTCTTGGGTTCAGCTCTTCTGAATGCATAGCCTAGGCCTTTCCCACCTCCCTCTTAATACAGTAAACTTCCCATTATCTGGCATTAAAGCAACTGGCAATACGTCCTCGATTTTTTTTTTTTTGCCGGTGGCTTGATGCAAACTTTTTCTCTCAGTTCCGCTATTGTTAATTGCCATAGCCAATATCAGGCTGGCTATTGCACCTGTCCACTAAGCAGAGGAGTGGACCTGAGAGAGGAATTTCTCTCTCAGGTCTGCTCCTCTGCTCAGTGGGCAGGGTTTCAATAGCCAGGCTGCAATTGGCTATTTCAAATTGCAATAGCCAATAGCCTATTGCACCCACCCACTGAGCAGAGGAACAGACCAGAACCTACCAATCCCCCTGGGGTGCCGGATATATGGATGGGAGTTTACTTTATTTCATTCTGCTGCTATATTTGCATAAGAGACAAAGACCATCACTGCAAAAAACAGTTTGGCCTCCCTTATTCCCATCCTGTGTTCTACCCTGTCTTTTGTGACAGCTGCAGTTTTTAAAACAAATAACACGGGACTTATAAAAAGCAAACAAGAGGAATAATTAGGGACGAATGGAACCACCCTATTACATGCAGCATTGCTGGCAAACAATATATGGAGTTTTCAAAGCAAACGACCTGTTAGGAAATAAATTACATCACTTCACTCAGAATGTAGCCTCTATCACTTCACACTAATGCACAGACTCAACAAGGTGATACATGGATACTGCAAAAAGTAACACAGATTTGCAAGAACGTGAACATACACAATTTTTAATTTGAAATTACAGACTGTTTGCATTAAAATAAAAATATAGCAACACTATTGGGATTGAGTTAGGCATCAGGAAATGAGACAGTGACTCCTATGTAAATGCAACTTGTAAACTGAGATAACCTCACTTAGCAAACCGAGATAACCTCACTTACTAATGTTACAAAAGTTTGAATTTCTCTTTAACTGAAATGCCTTGCTCTTTTCCCTTGATTTTCCCTTTTTAAATGGTTTTAACTTTTTTTTAACATTCGTATGTAAACTTTTAATATTCTTTTGTTTGTTTCCATTTTTGTAGTGTTGCACTTTTTAAGTACAGAAACACTAGTTGTTTTAAAACTTACACTGATCAAACTATAATTTTTTTTTATTTTTTCAATTCTTGACAAAGGGGACCTACATTAACTACTGCTTAATATTTTCTACAGTGCATGCAGAAGTTTTGAAAGATTTCCTCTAGTGTCCCCAGGATTTTCTGATAGCTGGTGATCAGTTATGACAGACTCGGGCTTATTTAAAAAAAAAATGTATTTTTTACTTTAGTGTTTTAATATTTTTTCATATATATTTACACTTCACAGATCACTTACCTATCACCACAGACTTTGCTTTGGCATATTTGAACAGTCATTTTGTTTTCATCATTTAAGGGCACTTCTATCGGTGACATTCCTATACACAGAAAACAAACACACAAACAAAAAATCTAGTTTGCATGATATAAATAAACTAAAAAAAAGAAATTAACTACTTTCCTTGGTTCACTTTAAAAATATAGATTGCAGTCCAGAAGGTGGCGCCAAAAGCTCAATTCATATAGCATAAATGGCTGAAGTATAAAGCAGCACCATTTGTATCCATCTGTATGATTTGCAGCAGCAGAGAAGGACAAACAAAAATGGAACAAACAAAATCTTTTGTGATTATTAATTGGTTGAATGGTGTTAGGCAAACTGCTGAGCATTTCAATGCACTACAAATAACACTTTCAAACACAAATGTCCACAATTATCAAATGTGCATAATGATTATTTTTGAGGAAACCTAATACAAAGCGGCTTTTGCTACACTGAAAAAAAAAAATTTAGATATTAATGCTTGGACAAAAATGTTCATACATTGTTAACAATGTTTCCATTTGATGAGTAAAGTTGCACTATGTCACACAGTAGCAGATGGCAATGCAACTTGACTTTATGGTTAGGCCTTGTAAATGCTAGTTTGAAAAGCTGTACATACAGCAACATTTTACAAAGCTTTTTAGCAAGTTTCAAGCATCTTTCTTGAAGCATTTAAAAAAGAACTCTATGCATATTAAGAATTAACCTTTGCAGTGGGACTACCCCCGCACAGCAAAGGGTCTAAAATACAAAAGATCCTTGTGCCCGCCTGGCTGCTAGACCAGTCGCTGCGGTCTTTTCTACATGGGCTCTCAATGTCTTCACGTCCATTCACTTTCATTAGACATGAGGACACAGGGATATTCAACAGCTGGAGCAGAGGGGAGAGAGTACTGGTCACTGTTGTGGGAGTATATCTTTTGTATTTTAGTCCCTAGACCAAAACGAGTAGCCCCACTGCAAGGGTTAACTTTGTACATGCCTGGAGTTCTTCTTTAACCCTTTACCTGCCACCAACGTAAGGCTTACGGAGGAACACAACTGTTTCCAGCTGGCCACGTCAGCCAGCCTTGCATCTGTGGAGTGGCAAGCCACTGGTGACAGCTATTAACCAAAAAACTGGGCACCCCCCCCCCCCTCTGCCGCCCAGGCATCTGCAGCTTCTTCTGCCCTCTCCATTATTCTCCCCGGATCCCTGCTGCTCCCCCCTGCCTGTATGGGTTCAGGCAGCGGGGATCCAAAGAGAAAATGACAGCAGAAGGCAGTGGGGAGTGCGGGTCGAGGTAGAGAGCGCTGTTATACGTTGTGCAGAGAGGAGCTGCAGCCGAGGGTGGAGGGAGAGAAGAGACACTGTCATCCTGTCAGTTTTACGATGGCAGCGTCTTGGTGCATGGTCGAGAGGAGGATCAGTAAATATCTGTGATATTTACCGATACTCTCTGTGAAGGACAAACACTGGAGTGATCACTCGGAGTACAGAGGCTTCTCCCCATTCAGAAACTGGTTGATAGTAAATGTTTTACTGTTTACTGTTTACTGTTTTTGTGAAGACTCTGTACTGAGAGCTTTCCATTAATTGAGTGCTGAGGCTGTAGAAAAATGTATTTTTCTATTTCAAAAGGGAAATGTCAGGGGTCTGTTTAGACCCCTGATATTTCCCTGAAGCCCCCCCAACAGTAAAAAAATAAAATAAAATAATAATAAAAAATAAAATATAAATAAATAAAACACAACCCCCCTCCCTCCCCAGACATATATTATACACGTGCAATAGTGTGCACCAAATGGGGTGTATGCCATGCACATGTGTTGCAGTGCGTTGTTAGAACGCATCGCTGTGCTCGATTTTTCTTTTTTTCTGTTCAAAATAACATTAATTTAACTGTGGCAGTGCATGGCAAGGCATTGTGACGCATTGCCATGTGCTGATACGTTGTGTTGTGGTTAAATGTGATTAAATGTATGCCTGTATCATTCTATCACAACACACATACCAGCACAGCGCACAAACAATTTTTAACATAAGTCGCTTATTTACAGTTTTGCTTTCCTTCTTTTTTTTACCATTTCACAAAAAGGCACAATTAAAAATGTACACATATTTGTTATTTATTAACTCAATACAGTTTAAGCTTTATCTTTTAGATTTAGTCAGAAAAGTATTTGTTTGTGCACTGATACTGATTTTAGTGTGCTTTTCTAAATTTCATTGTGTATTTTTATCAGTTTAATATTGATTTGACAAACATTTGCACAATTATCGCAGAACCTACAAAATTAGTAGCACCATCTTTTTATTCTACCTGTGCTTCAGAAAATATATGGTTTGGGGGGGTATTTTGCAAACGCTAGCAACGCAGCAGCAGAGTATCAAAACAATGGGACAATTTGCAAAAATGGTGTGGCCAGCTGAGGGTAAAATCGTTCCCGAGGGCTTGGCAGCAAAAGGGTAAAAGCACGCTTCATTTCAATTTGGGTATATTAACACTTCATCTTAGTGAAAGTGCTGGCTTTCACTTTTAACAAGCTAGGTTCCAAGAAGGCTTAAGAAAAGCTTTACTGATACAGCTATATCGGCTGCCATTACTGACCTTTCAAAAAAGTCTAGTTGCCTAGATGTCACTGGCTTTAGCACTTGCAGAGAAGCATGTAAATTAGAAAAGCCAGAGCTCCTCACCTGCATACTTGCAGAAAATCAGTGACACAGAAAAAACTGAAGCCATTCTACCACAATGATAACCAAGGAACTAGTATTTATACTAGCCCGGTCAACAAATGCAGACTTCATACTTCCTCAGAACAGTTTTCCTTTCAAGTAGTCCTGAAGTTTACTGGAACCATGATTAAGTTGCAAGGAGCTTGTTTAAAGTGATCTTGTGTTCAGCGCCGGATTAAGAGCATCACGGGCCTGGTGCTGAGGATTTTGGTGGGCCTTTTTATGGAAATGGCGATGGTCACTGGGGCCCTCTTCCTCTTGTCTGGGCTGTGATTTCTAGTCTGTCTACAGCTTGGAGTCAGTGGTGAAGTGCTAGGGCCAGGTTGCAGCAGTAACCCTGGTAGATCTGCCACTGACTCCAAGCTGTGGAGAGTCTAGAAATCTTAGCAATACATTATGCAGCAATGCATAATACGCCAACTATAGAGGACTACAAATCCCAATAGTACATTACACAGAAATTCAGAATATCACCAGCTATAGAGGACTACAAATCCCAGCAAAAAATTATACAGCAATGCAGAATATTACCACTAACTAGATGACTACAAATGCCAGTGATGGATTACAGAGCAATGCAGAATACCACCAGCTATAGAGGACTATGAATCCCAGCAATAAATTATACAGCAATGCAGAATATTACCACTAACTAGAGGACTACAAATGACAGTAATGCATTACAGAGCAATGCAGAATACCATCAGCTATAGAGGACTACGAATCCCAGCAATGCATTTTAAAGCACTGCAGAATAATACCATCAGCTATAGAGGACTACAAATTCCAGCAATACATTATAAAGCACTGCAGAATAAAACCATCAGCTATAGAGGACTACAAATCCCAGCAATACATTGTAAAGCACTGCAGAATAAAACCATCAGCTATTGAGGACTACAAATCCCAGTAATACTTTACACAGCAATGCAGAATAATATGAAGCTACATACTCTGTGTAGTTTCGGTTTCGCGGCCTGATGTCTCCAGGGTCTCAGGAAAGCTGTGTGGGGTTTAGGGGGGCTGCACAGGCTCTCCGGAGGCTGTTCAGGTTCTTAGGTGGCCAGCACAGATCTATGAGGGCCAGTGCGGGCTCTCAGGCAGTCCATGCAGGCTGCAAGAGGTCAGTGCGGGCTCCAGGTGGGTCAGCGCGGGCTCCAGGAGGTCAATGAGGGCTCCAGGTGGTCGGTGTGGGCTCTGGGGGGTCAGTGTGGGCTCCAGGGGATCAGTGCGGGCTCCAGAGGGTCAGTGTGGGTTCCTGCGATTCTGGTCAGGTCTGCTTGGCTCGGCTGGGCCTATTTGCAGGGGGGGGCCTAGAGCTCCACCCACCCCTATGTTAATTTGGCCCTGCCCAGAAGAATCACACACACCACATATTATGCTCTGGTGCTTATTAAATATTATTGCTTACAGAGAAAAAAAACCACCACTCCATTTAAGTCAGTACTATTTTTGTTTTAGAATCGGTAAAATGAGCAATTAAACAGCTGCTAAAAAAGCAGCAAAAATGCCAGGCTTTTATCACACAGCACTCTAACTTGTGGCAGAAAAAGGCTCCAAATTACAAATGGTCTTTTTCCAGGTTGCTTCATGCTTTAGAAAATGTGTGGCATTTCCCAAAGGTACAGAATGTTAGGAGGCATTTGGTGTTTAAGGGAACCATATACTTCACTGTGGCATACACCATGTTTATCAGCATGATGTTAAATGTGAAGTTTAATAAAGGAAGAAAATAATAAGAAAAAGGTCAGACAAGGCTGGGAAACTTTATTCCTTAATCATCTTTCTATTTTTAAAATAAAACCCATTACTAAAAAATACCCCATGTGAGCCTCTGAATAAATATTCTTATGTGGATTAATTAGCAGAAAATAAAACACACAAAATAATAACAAAGCTCAGTAACACCTACATCATTTTACTTAATTTGGTTTAGACCTTACTAATGATCCATCAGAACTGACAGAGCTCCGGCCGGAGCCGACTGGAGCAGCTCTACGGTATGCATCCGTCGGAGATGCAGACCATGTAGCTGCTCCTGCAAGTCGGGCACAAACACTTAGTGGGTTATTCACAAAGCTGCCGAAGCCAAGTGAATAACCCAGCCGAAGTGAAATAAGCTGAACAACGTTTGGCTATTCACTCTGGCTCAGTACATCGACTGAAATCAGCCATATATCGGCTTCACTTCGGTCAGCCGAACATGCTCTGCATGTTTGGCTGAGCCGAATTGCATAAGGACATCTGGATCAGCTGAGCTAAAGCTCCAGCAGCTTACTCGCTGCTGTTCGCCCCTATTCATATAGAAGAGGTGGTCAACAAATATATTCATATATTCAAACGGCATTCGGCTTGGCTATACTGCTCGGTACCTTTGGGGTACCGAGCAGAATAGAAAATCAATGAAAATAGTCGTTAAAAAAAGTTTACAAATTTTTAAACATGTAAATAAATAGTAAAATTTAAAAAAATAAAAACATTTAAAAGGAAAAAAAACAATTAACAGCTAACAGTGACATCTAGCTCAACCCAACTGTTTCCTATTGGCCGACACCTGCTAGAGCATTCTAGCAGGTCCCGGCCAATGAACAAAAACTGGGCGGAGCCAGACATGATGTCACAGCCAGCTCCACCCAGCTGTTGTTTAATGACAGTTTAGAATCCCCAGGTTATTTGGGGATACTGATCTGTCATTACAACTGGGCGGAGCCAGCCATGAGATCACCGCTGGCTCCGCCCAGCTGTCATTTGCAAGGCCAAAAGGCCGGTCTTCAGCAGGCTGTTTGCCTGGCTTTGGCTGACACTTTGGCTCAGTCGAGCTGAAGCATATGACTTCGGCCCAGCTGAGCTGCTCGGCCGCCTTCAGTTGCTGTAGGGCTATAGTGAATAGCCCATACAGCAGCCCTTCAGTTTGACTGAACCAAAGGGCTCCTGGCAGCTGAAGAGAGCTAAAGGATCAGCCAAAGCTACGGTTGGATCCTTCGGCTTCTTCGTGAATAACCCCCTTAGGCTTTACTTGCAATGTGCTGTATTTTGTTCAGGTGTGTTTGAGGTTTCTTTTTGCTTAAAAGGTTTGCACAACTTTTTGACTGCAGATTATGGGGGGGATTCATGAAAACTGTAGGCAGGCAGAATCTAGAGCAGTTGGTAATGGCAACCAATCAGTGTCTCTTTTCAGTTTGTTCAGTTATGCTTTGAAAATGTAAGATAGAAGCTGACTGGTTGCCATGGGCAACTGCTCGAGATTCTGTCTGCTCCAGTTTTTATGAATTTCCCCCCATGTCTTTTCCCTATGGGGGGAATTTATCAAAACTGGAGCAGACAAAATCTGGAGCAGCTGTGCATGGCAACCAATAAGCTTCTCTGTTTCATTTTCAAATCTTAGCTGAACAAACGAGAGCAGCTGATTGGCTGCCCTGGGCAACTGCTCCAGATTTTGTCTGCTCCAGTTTTGATAAATTCCCCCCTATTTCTTTTAAAATGGTGCATTAATTAATATTACGGTGAGTGTCTGTATTATGGATAAGTGTAAGTTAAAGTTTATCTCTAGGCAAAAACTTTGTATTTTTATTTTGGATAGCGTGGAGAAGGGTTAGACCGGGTTGTTGGGTTTTATTCCTGTTTGTGTCCTCATTGGGGAGATTGACAACTTTGTTAGTACTGGTGACCAGTGGCGTCACAAGGGAGGTGCGGGGGGTGCGGCCCGCACCCGGGTGACACCATTGGAGGGGGGCACCAAAATGACTTACAGTCATTTTGGTGTCACCCCCCTCTGAAAAGTCGGGCGCTCGGTCATGGACCGAACGCCCGACAGTATCAGGAGAGAGGAGTGGACCCGGCGGCATACCTCATCCCGCCGGGTGGCTGTCTCCTCCTCTCTCTGCCGGCGTCCATCACCAAGATGGCCGCCGGCAGTTATCAGAATACTGACGCGCGTGCGCGATGACATCATAGCGTACACGCGTGGTGACGTCTCGGAAGGGTGACACTCGGACACCGCTCCGGGTGTCACCCAGCCTCGGGACGCCCCTGCTGGTGACCATTGTCACTGAAACAGAAAGTGAGGGGAAATCTAAAATTGTAGAGTTGTCCCCAGAACCAAGGGGGATGGAAAATATTCTAATGGTGACACTCATCTTGGGGACAACAGAGAGGACAACTGCGACACCAGTAGAGGAATTCCCCTCATTTTGGAAGATTTCTGCTAACTCTGGCTTGGGAAGTGAAAGGAAATTTCCCCAATGCTACACAGACAGCAAAGGTTTTAACTCTTCCCTACTCTGCCTTAGTAGAAAAGGCTTTGGCTATCCATACACTTTAAAGCAGAACTGCAGTCTGCAGCAGCCTATATTTAATACTCCCCCTGCATGCTGTGCAGCTTTCTTTCCAAAACCTTTTTTTTTTCTTTAGAAGGCACCTGTACAAAACAGTAAGGGGGGACACATTTGCACACAGGTAAACATGTTTGCATATTTGTTTAGAGGAAAGGAGAGTTTTGCTATGTAAAGGAAACTTGTACTGAGGGAAATACAGAGCCTGTCATTGCTGACCTCTCCTTCTGGAAATGACCTTGCTGTCATGCTGATCCGATGCAGTACCTTCATACCTAATTACTGACCTTAACACCCCATTCACACTTGCGATATTGCAAATTGCACGTTTCTCACACGAATGTAATTTGCGCGATATTGTGCGTTTTCCGCACAAATTTTCGTATTGGGCTGAGTACAATCGCGCGACACCCGCGCCAAAAAAGGGTCCTGCGACAGCGACGAGCTACAGGTGACATGGAGCTGCAAATGGGAACAGCTCCATTGACATACATTGGACTTAGTACAAAGAGCAATATAGCGCAGAAATATGCACAATTTTGCAGCGTAAATCCGCATGATAAACCGTTCAGTGTGAACGGGGCCTTTAGGTGCATGAAGGGTAATGTCATTCCTGATATGAAATCATCTTACATTCATTAATTAAACAAACATATTTGTATTTTACTTACAATTTCCTTATTTTCTACTTCCTGCTCCATGTGGGCATAAGTGATATAATGTGCCCCAGCATTGCATCCTGGGAAGGTTACATCAGCAGTGGAAAATCTCATTTCTAATCTCATGAGATCTCAGGGAAAGACATCCTCCCCTGAGATGATGTACATGGTCACATGTCCTAGTTACATGAGTTCTAGTAAGTAAAGGGAGATCTAATAACCTGCCCTTACTAAAAATATGCCACTGTAAGAACAATCGGGAGGAAAATAAAAATAAGGTATACAAAGAATAAAAAGCTGGTAATTATCTACGGTGTAAGTATCTGTTTTGTAGATTGCCATTACTAAACATCTCTTTAACACTATATATTTGTTAAACAAGACATTTTGTAATGTCATTAAAACATAACCGTTTTAGTTAAACCTTCAAAATTATGATTTTCTAAAAAAAAAAACACATGTACATCTCTGCCCCCTCTTAATACTTGCCTGTTCACAAAATCTCATAAAATACAAGAAGGGGATTTTATCAAAACTGGAGCAGACAGAATCTGGAGCAGTTGCACAGTGCAACCAATCAGCTTCACTCTTTAGTTTGGTTCAGTTAAGATTTGAAAATGAAAGAGATAAGCTGATTGGTTGCCCTGGACAACTGCTCCAGATTTTGTTTGCTCCAGTTTTGATAAATTCCCTTCAAAGTGTTCTGTCAATTGGAGGAGGCAAGGAGGGATAGGGATATAAATGGAGCATATAACTGACCAAGTCGCACCCCATGTTTAAAAACTGAGGAAGCATGCTGCAAGGTAAGATATTTATACTTTGAGGCAGCCCTCCACACATACCACACAGCTTTTTAGCAATAATTTACACACCCAGTGCTGTGTTTGAATTATATTTTTTTTTCTGGAGCTTAGCTTTAATTATATTGAATGTATGTTACATTCAGATTAAAATCTGGGTGGGAAAATGCAGTTTGATACAAGATTCATGTTACCATGTGCGTGAATTATCATGATGTTCTTGATCAGATCAATTGAAGGACGGATAAGACACAATTTCGGCTCTTGCTTTTGACTGAGGCATACTCCATTTTCATTCACAACCATCCAATTCCGATCAAATAGTAGACCTTGTTCTACCACAGGCCACTGGGAAACCTGACAAAAGAAATCAGAATAAAAATATGCAATTATGTTTAAGAAAATGCATCAATAACTATCTTTGTGACATGGCCAATGGTAAAGTTGTAGGCCAAACACAGGCAAATACAAATAATGCCATTATATAAATTATACTGTAATCAAAATATGTAGATGTGCACTACTGTATTAAGATAAAAATAAAAAGTAAATGCAGCATCAAAATTTAAAAAAGTAAAGCAAAAGTAAAATCAAGTATGGATTTTTACATTTCTTTAATCATCATTGTGCGGAGTGTTAGCACTATATATCTTGACATTTTATGGTATGTTATGCAACTGTGCTGTAGTTTGCTAACATATCTGTAAGTAGACAATTGAACTGTAAAGCACATTTGTAAATGTAAACGAATATATATGTAAAAGTCTGTTACTCTTTCATTCTTTTTTTGGGCTTTGCTGATAACAGAGACACATAGAAAAATCTTCCTTTTATATAAATTAAGGTGAAATTAAGTCTACCCACTTTTAGAAATTTTGCAAACCATAGTTATGAGTTTTAGTAAATTTTACAATTATTCAAATTTAAGCTCTTGAGGCCTTTATTCCTCAAGACATGATGAAAGGCTCTGCATAATATCCTTGACGAAAATGTAGGATTATCTATAACTGGGAGATAAGGTGCATTTCACCAATCTCAGTTTATGCTGATTGAAAAAAATATTTCAAAGCCCTTAACCAATCCTTAAAATACATCATCAAATTAACATTTTTAACAGGATTACCTTCTTTGGAATGAGGCAGAATGTAAATGTATGACCACAGCAAAGTTCAGAGTTCAACTATCAGGCTAAAATAGCCAATATTTGTCAACCAAGCAAATACAAAGTGAACTAAGGAGCTCAAATGATTTAAATAATAGTTTAGGACTAATAAGGTCATTTGGAGTTCTGTGTCCAATACATGAGAGTGTATATCGGTCCACTGTATGCATACTCATAATTACCATAATCATTTTCTTTACACTTCACAAACTGTTGGTGCTATATAAATCATTAAAAATAATAATAATGACCTGAAAAATGTACGTTTGATTTGGAATTCCTCCTGAAAAAAAAGCAGCTCACTTCCTGGTATGTGAGCAGTATATCTGCTAGGCAAGATCTAAGGCACTACTGCCTCTGACTGCCTGTCTTAGGATATCTGGTGAGGTCACTAATGTACTGCTCACTGTTCTCCTTGCAGGAGGCTCTGAAATGAGCAAGCAAAGTCCTGGCCCAAGATGGCTATAGAGACAGAGTGCAGAACAAAGCATAGTATGTCAGTAATGGTGAAAGAAATCAGCTGCAGGAACACCACAGGAAATAATGATGGCTAGTCCTTTGCCCTCTGTCTGGCTTCTTTTTTTTTGGCACAGCTTCAAGGGTTCAGTTCCTTTTAAGACTCAAGACTCTCTTTACGATAACATTTTCTAGACAATATGAGTTCTGATCACAAAGAAGTATATTTAAGGTTGTTAATGAGGCAAGTACTTCTGCAAATCTACATTCTAGCTTTAGATTTGATAACAAACCTTTACCTGAAAGGTGAGATTTCACTACTACTGTAGTCTCCTGCATATGCTAGTTTGTTTTTCCAGGATAAATACATTTTGGAATAAGATACTGAACCTGTTCATCATCATATTTTTACATTCTAAAATGTGGTTTATTGATAATATCTTACTACATTTTTAATTTTGACATATAACTTAACACTTAACTTTTTTATAGTACTGGTTTTATACATACATAGTTTAAGCCTATACCATTCCTTGAATAATTTTTGGTTGCAGAATTTTGTTGACTCTTCATTATATAAAACTATGATCTTAATAAGGTTTCTGCTCATGTAATGGCACACACATATTTGCCATGTCTTTATTATTCTTTATCTTGAGTACAATTCCTAATTTAATTTTGTAATTCTCAGTGGAAGCATAGTAAGTATGTTTTAACCCTTTCGCTGCTAAGCCCTCCATAACGCTTTTAACTTTAGCTGACCACACCATTTTTGCAATTTTTCCCACTAAAACAGTGGGAAAAATTGCAAAAATGGTGTGGTCAGCTAAAGTTAAAATTGTTTTAACTTAACTTAAAATTTGATTGTCTACTGCTGCGTTGCTAGCATTTGTAAAAGACCCCCTCAAACCATATATTTTCTGAAAGCACAGGCCCAGTAGAATATAAAGAGGGTGCTACTAATTTTGCAGGTCCTGCGATAAGTGCACAAATGTTTGCAAATCAATATTAAAGCAACAAAATACAAAATTAAATGAATAAAAGCACACTAAAATCAGTATCAGTGCACAAAAAAATAATGTTATGATTAAATATAAAAGATAAAAGCTTATTGAGTTAATAAATAACAAATATTTGTAAATTTTAAAATGCGCTTTTTTGCAAAACAGTAAAAAATATGAAGGAATGCAAAATTGTAAATAAATGACTTATGTTAAAGTGTTGGTGTGTGTGTTGTGATAAAATGATACAGGCATACATTTAATCGCAACACAGCATATCACAAAGCATGGCAATGCATCACAACACTTTGCCATATGCTGCCACACAGTTAAATTAATGTTATTTTTAAAAGAAAAAAAATCAACCGCTGAGATGCGTTCTAACAACGCAACACAGCGTATGTGCATGGCGTACACCACAATATGGTGCACGTTTAATTGTGTGGGGGGAGGGGTGTTTGTGTTTAATTAGTTTATTTATTTTACTATTGCAGGGGCTTCTGGGAACTATCAGGGGTATAAACAGACCCCCAACATTTCCTTTATGAAATAGAAAAAGAAATTGAGGACAGAGATACTTCTGCAGCCTCAGCACTCAATTAATAAGAAGCCTTTCCCATTCATTCAGAAATGGGAGATAGTAAAATATTTACTATCATCCAGTTATAAATGGGTAGAAGCTTCTATAGTGAGTGCTACTACCCAGTGAGAAACTCATGAATGAACAGGAAGTGATGTAAAGCACTTCCTTTTTATTCATAGCTGGGGACACTCAATTGGGGACACTAAAGTGACCATGAGATTATAGCAGAACAGTAAAAGCCACCGACATAAGGCTTACTGACATGGCCAGCTGAAAGCAGTTGTGTTCCACAGTAAGCCTTACGTCGGTGACAGCGAAAGGGTTAAACATGATGTAATGATTAAAAAAATACACTTTATAAAAAAAATAATCACATGTACATATGTAAATCAGCATCAACCCATACAAGCAGGGGAGAGCAGCAGGGATCCGAGTAGAAATAGATCCCAGCTTGGAACGGCTCTAGGTGGGGGAGGAGAGGCTGCAGATGCCAGTGGTGGTGGTTCCGGGGGGGCGCCCAGATTTTTTGTTAATATCTCTGAAAGCCATTATTTTACAGGGCACAGTCAAGGGAAATGTTCTGGTATAAGTTCATGGTCGATTTATAGCAGAACAGTAAAAGCCACCGACGTAAGGCTTACTGACATGGCCAGCTGGATGCAGCAAAAGGGTTAACATGATGTAATGATAAAAAAAAACACTTTTACAATCATTTTTTTCACATTTACATATGTCAATCAGCACAAGTCTGGACCATGCTCTGATTTGGTGAAAGCCCTATTGTACCTTGTTGTAACCTAGCAAAGGGTTACAACACATTAATATTGATGAATATACTATACCTAATACAACTATGCTATGCTGAATACCCTAAAAATTCAGGTTACTGTTGTCGGGTAATTTAAGAGATGATTCCTAATTTATTCGTTAAGTTCACTATGAACAATAAAGTGTTTTCATATTCTTAAAAAGCAGAGTTTTTTTAAACAAGCCCTCATTGTCCTCTTTAGTTTTTAGTACTGTGAAGTAATGGATACTTAAAAATCCTCAAAGATCACAACTAAAACTTGACACAGCTTTTTATGTTATTGTATGTCTCATTACATCTGAACAGAGTGCTCTCGCTCATCACTGAAAAAAAACCCCAGAAACCTCTTTGGGGCATGAATGCATGTTTTAGGCTCCAATAGACTTCAAATGGGAATGTCTGAAAAATGTGTGTAATGCTAACTTTATGCCCAATTTTTCTCTTAATATCTCTTCCTCCTAGTCACTAGCTTTCCATTGGCTACAAACAAACAAAAATGCCTAAACCTGAAAAACACACAAAAAAGAGTGTACAAATGTGCACTTTTTTGTTTATTATGGTGTTTAATTTTTGTGCACACACTGCGGGCTATCCTACTCTGTGAAAAGTGCATTTTTATTGCTCTGCCCCCATTGTTATGATATTCCCCCACTTCCTGTCCCAAAAAACAGTATTATACATGGTTTACCTGCATGACCAGCTAGAACATTCCTAGCTGCCAATTTGTTGTTTCTTCCTTAAGTTGTTTTGTCTTAAACTTAAATGAACCAGTTAGGAATAAATTGTGCCCTCTAGAAAATGATGTACTAGAAGAAATATATTTCTAATCTGTTACTGTATCACAAGAGTCCAAGTTCTTTAGAAATGTTGGTTCTTTGATCTGCGTTCTCTAGAAATGTGTTAATGTGCCACTTCCATTACTGGATGTCTTAAAGCGTTATTCCTGATGATATTTCACAGACCTACAAAATCTGCAATGAAGTACAAAAATAAAGGACATATAATATGCTTCTACATATGTTAGAGATAGTATATTTAACTTAAATGTCAAAGTATTAGATTTTGGATCGGAGTACTGTAGTCAGTCAATCACTAAATCTAAACATTTGTAGAAGGTAAGAAGTAGAGGCGATAATGAGAACAGGTAAAATGGAGTCTTTTTAATTAAATACATTACTTGCAATTGAGGCTAAGAATAGAAGCATATTAGGTAGTACACTGTACATTCATGCATCTATATGGTAAGTGCATTTATTTGTTTGTCTAATGTTTGTGTTTTAAGCACTACTCCTAAAAACAGAAAATATTAGAATTTCACCAAATGTCTATTTTTCAGCAGCTAGGTTT